CAAGACCGACTATATCTTACAAACTTGTTATTTCAAATCTTAGTTAGATAGCTTTTCTATAGTATTTTTAATTTATTAATTAAAGCTTTATTTGTAAAATCCATTTTCTTAATATATAATTTGTAATTGAAAGTAGAGCATTAGGAATATGTTGTATATATATATTATAGAATTGATTTTTATCTAAGATCCTCTATTATTATAATACCGATTGAGTATTGTTGAATATAACTTGCTAAAAGCGTCCTTCCTATACCAGAACTCCTCTGCCACTATACCACTCCCATGTACTTGAAGATAAGATACTAAAAACATCCCTTTTCCTATTCCATATATATTTCTGCCAGCCCCAGTAAATATTATTCTAGCTTTTATATACTTTCTATTACTTCCCTTACCATTTATAAATATCCAATCCGGTATATCTACAGATTATATATATTATTAGATTATGAAAACTCTACACATTAGCACTCCAAAAATGTTTTGTCGATTTTTGTTTATCAAGTTAAGAATATCGGCTCTACTTCCAATATAGGTTTTAGTCAGATTTAATTATATTATAGAAGCTTTATTATCTATTATTTCAAAAACTAATTCTGTTTTGCAAATGCTCTATTACGATATACTCTAGCTCTACTTTCCATACAGATTTATAAAAGTATGATTTTATATTAATCCCGCTTTTATTTTTCTTTCACTATTGAATAGTTTTTATCTCTATTTTGCTAATAATCTTTTATTTCAAGTATCTTTGTAATTACCCTTTAGTGATTAGCTATATATACCTTTGCTTTCAATATAGCCTCCAATTAGTATACAATTATCACCCAGCTCCAGCTGATTCTACTTAGCTCTCCGATCGCACAATCAAAGGTTCGTAGGATACACCATATATAGGTGAGAGTCATCGTATCCCTATACTTCGGATAATGAATAAGATATTAAGTAAATATCGATATACAAAAAAAAAAAAAACTTAATTACATCAAGGAAGAGTATTTATTGAACAAAAGGCTTTTGATATATTATTTCAACAAAAGATTGATATTCAGATTCAACACAACAAATATCAAAAAGAAAGGAATTCTAATAAGAAAACAGTTTCTAATCGATACTATAATAAGTGTGGAAAGACTAGGCATAATACAAGGACTTATCAAAATGATTTAATAGATCCTAGATTATTAGAATCTTCATAGTTTCAATCAATTGATTTAGTTGTTATGAGTTTGAAAGTGTGAATTGAGGTGAAAGTGGTCCACTCGATGATATGATCCACTCGATGATAAATCACGTTATATTAACTAAATATATTATATAAAATAATCTCAATCAAAAGATATTATAGATTAAAAGTTTTATATATTTTAAAAATTAAATGATTATATATCTATTTTAAAAATTAATATAAGTTTTTAGATAACAATATTAAAGCTTTAAAATATATTTAAATATCGAAATATTATTCTAAAAATATTAGAATTTTATTGTTATTTGAAATAATTTATTAATATAATTATGAAATTATTGAGTTTATTAATAATATTAAATTTTGATAAGGATTCCTCACTAAAATTCTTTTAAGTCATTAATTTTCTAATATATACTAATTACTCAATTAAAAGTTATAATAAATAAATCTTATACATATTATAAATTACTTTTTAATCTTTTAAAAAAAGTTTTTTTAAGTATTTTAAATTAAGAATTGAATTAATTATAATTAGTTGAAGTTTCTAAATATTTAAGATTCTAAGTAAAAATTATGCTTAAATTCAAAATAAACCTAATATTCAATAAATTATAACTTTTGCTATAAAAATCTCAAGATAATAAAAATTATATTATTAAAAAGCTTATATTCGAAATATTTTTGTAATATTTATTTTAAAATTTTATATTGATATATAATAAAGCTAACTAAGAGCTAAACATATAATCTAAAATCCCATTAAAACTTTAATAAGGAAATATATTGTATGTACCACTTTTCGTGTCACTCGCGAGATAGTGAACCCTTCTCATCCATCAACTTTACAAACCTAAGGTGTTTTACCAAGTTTTCTTAAAAAAAATCAAAAAAAATCCTACGACTTTCTTGCTTATGGGTTGTGTACAATTACACTCCTGAAAACTTTCACTCAGTTTCGTAAATTATCAACTGTCATGCGAAAAGTACTTTTGGAGTGGAAATCACACTCTAAAATTTCGATCCTGTCGTTTGTGTCACAGATGGTTTTCCGTGAGCTATATCTCTGGGGTCCGCCAATACTCAGCAAGGCCACTAAAGGGGGTTTTTGCTAGAACTAATCGGCTAATATCTGTACTTAAATCTACGTTATATGACTCGATTAGAAGTCATCAAGATGTATCTCGTTCGAAAGTCAAGCAAGCGGACACGAAAGATTTCAATTATTTGAGGTATGGAATAGAGCTCGTATTTTCGCCGATTTTCTATCCTCATTTTTGCTGTTTGAATGCAGTTTGTTACTTGATGAGAGCTAGGCTTTTGATGTAGAATGCTACATTCAATGTTGCAAAGAGTTGTTTTCTTTTGCCGAATATTTGGTGTAGAAGGTGTGGTCAGATGTGCTGGCTAAGCTTTAGTTGAGCTATCCAGATATAAGTTCATAGCCTTGCTTGATCTTGAAGTAATAGCTATGATGAAATGGACCTTCAGTTCGTCTTCATTATTGGTCGAGTCCAGAGATATCTTACAAATTCACCAGATTTGCAAGTAGAAAAGTCCAATTTCGCATGATGCACAAATGGCCTACATTGCGACATTCCCAAGTGGCACTTCATTGCAGAAACGCTTCTTTCATTAGCTCTGAAGGAGAAATCAGTTTTCATCATTTATCTATTAGTCTTACTTCAATATGGGATCAAGAAGGGCAGGAAATAACACATAATCAGAGGCTTGGCTATGATCAGTTACGTTGATAAATAGATGAATAACCTGTTCCTCATTCATAGAGCCTTACCATCCAATGACCATACGATGTTTTTATGAAATCTCGCATGACTTTATTGAGGAGGCGTAAGAATTCATTGACCCGAGTGCTCTTTGGATTCTCTCATAATATGAGAAGACAGGGACTGGAGTGATAAGTTCTCGAGGTAGTGCCTTGAGCAGAATTAGCTGGACGGGACTCACCATGATTGCCAACGTGCCTTTGATGGGCAAACATGTGCGAGATTCCTTCTTGGAATTGAGTCTGATAGAGAGTCATTTTACTTCCAGATATGTTTGTCCATTTAAATTCATCAAACCGAACATGTCCGCTACCATTCTTGATTCCCCACAAATACAGCTTAAAAGCAGCCTAAAAATTATTTCTGGAGCTCTTTTCCATTTAGGGTTAGTTTATCGGCTTTCCTTGGCACTATTACTAAGCAGATTGCCACTTCATGAAACTTCATCTTGTTGTTGATCATAAACGCTGATAAAGTAAAGATCTAGACTCACTGGAAAGGCTATTTTCAAAGCACCAAACATTATTTATACAATCATAGATTGTATTAAAGGTCTTACCACTGGAGTCAAAGAAATAAATATTTCTACTATCCCCGCAATGAGTCTTACCGACACTCCCGAGGGTATCATCGAACTGATCGACTCACTGGGCCATAGTGATCTGCCCACTAGTCCACCCTCTGTATATATCGACCTAGAGGGAATCAACATTGGTCGTACAGGCTCAATCGCGATCCTCCAAGTCCATATCCTCCCAAATAAAAAGACCTTTCTCGTGGATGTTCACAATCTCCGTGAACAAGCATTTTCCACTCCCAATTCATCTGGCCTTACCTTGAAAGCAATCTTGGAGTCTAAATTCATTCCAAAAGTCATATTCGACGTTAGAAATGACTCTGATGCTCTGTATAGCCACTTCGGCGTGAAACTACAAGGGGTCATCGACCTTCAACTCATGGAGCTTGCAACTCGATCTCACAATCGGAAATTTCTCAGGGGGCTTGGAAAATGCATGGATCAAGATCTCGTGCAAACTTCTGAAGAGCTCGAGGTTCGAAGCGCCATAAAGAAGCGCGGAGTACAACTATTTGCGCCAGAAAAGGGGGGAAGATATGAGGTCTTCAATGACAGACCACTTGATCCAGCAATCGTGGAATATTGTGTTCAGGATGTCCAACTCATGCCACAGTTATGGAACGTTTACAATGCAAAGCTTGCTTTAATGAACAAGAGATGGGCTACTAAAATTGAGCGAGAAACAAAGGCTAGGCTTCTGTTATCTCAGAGTGCAGAATATAATGGGAAGGGACAGCATATGGCAAAAGCGCCACCCACGTGGTAGAGTATTGTTGATATTGTTGGTAAAAAAAATGTTTGTATAGATATTAGATTTTGGCCTTCGGTTGGGATGTATGTGTCTGTACTTATATTGCCGTGGCTTGTTACTACTACTGTAATGATTCATTGCCACATTCGATAACAATTTTAAATAGAATGTGCAATTTATCGTCAAGTGCTATATCTTCTTGGTTCCTAAAGCGACTCCGCGAGGTCATTTATTTAGGCTGAGGGACGAATTTCAATCATACTGCCCTTTGACAACGGAGACGATGTTTTGAAATAACAACGAGTATTCGAAGCAATTGGGTCAGTGGTACTAGCACAAGACTCGTGGTTTTCTCGTGTTGTTACTTTACCCCCTTGACATACAATCAAGCTTTGTGGGTAGTTGCGAGTGCGATTCTTAAAACTTCGTCCTGTAAAGCGTAGTCAAAACGGTAGTGGGTTCTCTCTAAACTGGAAGGGTTTCTTGATCAGTCGAACTTTCCGTTCTCATATATGTACCTCCTCCTTTGTACTTTCCCAAATGCTAGGAACACGTTAAGTAGGATCAAGATCTAAATCTTTCCACATATTTTGATTTATAATAACAAAACAAAAGACAATTCTGGATTACCATAAAATTTTGGTTTCATTGAATTAGTTATAATCCCATCTCGCCTCCGCAGCCTGGGTGAAGATGGGCTCCTCCACTTGTTGCACCAGTCGTCAACCTCCTTCTCCCGATGCAGTCTCACCTCGTCCTGTACGATCACCATCTCTTACCCCAGTTAACACTCTGAGGAAGTCTCCAAGAAAAACATCGAACTTAAGGATTGGGGAGCTACAAACACAAGCCACTACATGGAGTTCGGCTACAAAAACGGAAGATACAACAGAAATAAGAGCCGTTTTTGAAGGAGAGTGTTCCACTGATAGCGATAAAGAAAACGAAATTGTGGTAGTCGATGAAGGAGATAGTGACGATGATGACGAGGACGAAAGACGACAGGAGGTCAAGCCAATGCTCAGTTCTAACACACTCAAATCCGTCAAAAGCCGTTTAATAAAGACATTTTCCCGCGAACCTAGAATCGCAAAAGCCGATAAAAGAAGAAGTATAGGGACCAGTCAGGAAGAAGTCGAGCGAAGAAAGGAACTGAGAAGAATAAGGCAAAAGAGAATTGAAGAGGAATTAAGTTATGATGATGGATATGATGAGGATGCTCAGTCTACAAGTACAGTGGATTGCCCCGCTATGCGCACCGAAAAGGGTCAGAAGAGGCAATCTCTTCTACCAGAGGACAGTGGCAACTTTCCAATTTTCCGAAAGTGAGTAAATTCTTGAAAGTTAACCAAAAGACATAATTTTAATTGGTTATTCTAGGCAGAGCTCTTCCTTTGGATCGGAGGCAGTTAGCAATGACAGCAAGATCTCCCTTTCTACAAGCAATAATGATAACACGAGTAAAATATCGCTATTAGCTACTAAGCTTGATGACACCAGCAAAGTATCTCTTTTAAAACGAGCAGATCGAGGAAAGTCTCGAACATGTTTAGGTCCTGGTGACCCAAACTCCAATTTTCTCAAACCGGTCAATACTCCACCGCGAAGATACAGCTCCCCTGGTCCTTGTCCTACGCCCAGTGAAACTGACTTATTCCAGCCTGGAAAACAACACATCAGGAAAACAGACAGTGAAGTTTCTGCTATACCTTCAGCATCTCTAGCAGAGGCTCAAAGATTGCAAAGTTTTGTTACCCTTGATCCAAGCACGGCTTCGAGTTGGCGATTGTCATATACTTCTCATCAAACTAATCGTGGAGCACATCTTCGAAGGTTAAGTCAACAATTTGAGGCTCCAATTCAATCAGCGACGGATGTTGCAAACGTAGGAACTCAAACACTGCCACGTTGGCTAAAAACTCATGGACTCCGATCATCTTCGCAGGCTATCACTACTTCGGAAGGTAGTACTTTACCAAAAGAGCCATCATTTATGCGTCCACCACGTTCAGATACTGGATTTGGTGGGGTTGATGGAAGCGGAAGCTTTTCAAATATGCATTTGCAGGATATGGATATCTCTAAACGTCTTCTGCAGAGCTCTTGCTCGTCACCACAACTAGTCAGCTGGGAGGAGCATCACCGTGAAGCTTCCGGAATTAGTACTGCGACACAAAGTCGTGCTAGATATATGCGAAACCCATCGGAAACAATATCAATCCCTTCATGCCCATCAATTGCCTTGAGCGAGCTACTCCCACCAAATTGGGGAAAATTACCAAATGATGGAACTTCTTCATTTTACCCTACGGTACCCAATAGCATCCAGCCTTCGCCAGAATGCTCACGGTTTGAGCTATCTCCTTTCATGTCCACAAGCAGAAGCATTCCTACAATGGTGGAGCCACAAGGTATGAGTCTTTTGGCATTACAAGTTATGATTCACTAACATTATAGCAAGCCATTGACGGGATTATGACTCCTCTTCGCTCACCACTAATTCCAGCAGCATTAGGGAGCGACACCCCTACCACAATCAATGTATCTTTAACGAGCCTTCAAGCCCCTTTAAGCAGATATTCCGCCAAACAAATTGATGAGAGCTCGCTTTTTGCTTCTGAAACTACCAGTTTTCGAGAACGAGAACTGGAATTAAGTCATATTCAAGCACGGTTTGCTTCGTCCGATTTGCGTCGACCTCCAAGTACGCCAATATCAAGCAAGTTCCGCGAAGAATTTGATATTTCACTCACCCCTCAACCCAAATCTCCTTTTCAGAAGCTTGTCAGAGCTTGCTCGCTAAATAGAAGTCGTGATGTTGTGGACGAGGATCCATTACTTGCTCCTCCACCGCATAGACCAGGATTTGGGTATCGATTTACCTCTACTCCCACAACTTTAAGTAGAAGGAGCTCTGCGCATCATTCAACACCAACGAAGAAAACTACAGAAAGAAGAAGAACCCCAATTGTTGATGATTCGATCGATACTCCAGTAAAAGGTAAATTTTCTGCATTTCGCAGATTTAAGCGCCTATCTAGTTTGGGTGGGTACGATGGTCCCGCAGATGATCATAGAGGCAGTAGATCCGAGTCTGGTACTGCACGAAGACCATCTGCGTTGGATGCTAGGTTAGGCTTGGGTGCCGAGATGACCGCAAAGGAGGCTCAACGGAAAATATCCATACCTCCTAGTATACCATCCATTAGATTACCAACTCCTGAGTCTCCAAGTATCAACACAGCTGACACTCATGAGCCTGGTGTTCTGGCTCACATGGCTACATCTATGCATGTCTCGACTCCGGAACTTCACCTAACTGGTCATCTTGGCCGCATGGCCACAACTATGCATATCTCGAATCCGGAACTTCATATGCCTGATACTCTTGCACGTATTGGTACTGCTATGCATATTGACTTACCTACACCTCACTTCCCTGGTGCCTCATCGATTCTTCATACCCCCCATATTGATATTCCAACCCCTCACCTTCCCAACATTCCCCATATCAGCTTTTGGTCATCACGATTCAGACTCTCCCCCAAAGGAAAAGAAAGACCCCAAGGAAGCACCTGCAATCGCTCCAATTGCTGCACCAAAATCAAAAGTTCAAAGGCGTGGAAATGATCCTCAAGGTGGAGCACCACAGTGGAGAGGCCCACGAGCTAGGAATCGCTCTACGACTAGGGAGGATAATAGGAGAAGAATGGACACTAGTCAGGATGATTCCGCTGCTGTTTGGATGAGAGCAGTGAAAGGTGCGGTATCAGATAGATCCAAAGCACGCAAGGACAATCAAGACGGAGACGACATTTTTGGAGATTGGGAGGCACAACTGGCTGGAGTTGCATCTAAATCCAAATACGAAAGTCGAAAATTTGGCTCGAGAGGCAAACCGAAGATCCATCAAATTGAACAATTCCCAGAAGCTTGGTGTAGATTTCCCAGCCATGAAAGACATGCCAGGGGGCATGAAAGTGCGGGTGTAGAGTCGGCTGTTGAAGCAAAGGATTTTGCGATTTTGAAACCGGGAAATGAGGGTCTGGGAAGATCGGAGCATTCTTATGGTACAAGGAGGAGAAGAAGACCAGGTATGTATACTGAGAATAGTAGTGATCCTAGTAATTCTCAAGGACTATCTGATGAGGAACTGGATGCGATTGAAGCTGCAGAGCCGTTTTACAAACGGTGGAGTCAGAAACTTAAGATTGCTTGGATGGATTATAGAATTGAGGATGGACAAAAGAAACATGCGTTTCATTCGGGGAGCTTGGGGAGAAGAGGTTCAATGACTATGGATGGAAAAGTACCATTTCCAGAACTGGAATTGTTACCAATGAGGGCACCCCCTCCGCCAAGTGAGGTGATAGATGATGAAGCGGATGATATTGAGGCGGAAAGAAAAAGAGTAGAAGCGATTCAGAAAGCTAAAATTAAGCCGCATTATGAGGCGGCAGATTTGACTCAGAGTAAGGGAGGTGTAAGTGATTTGTTGGATATTTTTAGTTCAGGACCTGAGGAGCCAGCTGAACCAAAAATGCCGGTTAAAAAGAAGGGTCCGAAGGCAAGAAAAGTTAAAGACCCTTATGCATTGGATGAAGATGATGACTTGGGTGGTGGCGGTGAGGATAAGGGTGATGAGGACGAAATGCCCAAGAAGAAAGGAAAGAAGGTCAAGGATCCCTATGCGATTGATGAAGATGATGATGAGGATCTGCCACCCGTGCCAAAAAAGAAGGAAAAAGCGAAGGATCCATACGCAATTGATGATGATGAAAATGAGGAGATGCCGCCTATTCCGAAGAAGAAGGGCAAGGCGAAAGACCCATATGCTATCGATGATGATAAGGACGGCTCATCAGACTTTGGTTCTGGGGACGATTTGGGCAAAATTGATCAAATCGTGATGAAAGAGGTGCTAAGTGGTGATGACAAGATTGATCATACACGATTTGAAGACTCGGTCATTAGTTTTCGCGATCCTGAATTCTATCAGGATTGTTTGGTGATGCCCAAAGAACCAAGTCCTGTGCATGTTAAAGAATGCTCTGTACTGTCTAGTCATGGGATCATTGAAGAAGAAATCGAGGACCCATATAAGAATGGTGCAGGGATTGGAGTACAAGTTAAAGAGATTGGTGAAGGGGTTATTAAACAGATCGAGAAGTTTAAAACGTGGAATGGCAAAGATTGGGAGAAGGAGATGGGAGGATTCTTGAGAAGAAGAGACACGAGTGTAGGAAGAGATAGCATGAGAAGCGCGAGATCTGTATGGAGTATGGGAAGTCAGGGATCAAGAAATACAGTGAGGAGCGTTGGAGTAGAAGTCAAGAGACTGGAGGATTTGGAGAGGGAAAGGAAGGCTTTGAGAAAGGGTGGTGGTCACTTGACAGGAGGTGTGCCGAGGAGGGCTAGAGGAAATAGAGGGTGGGACAACGAGAGAGGACATGAAAGGAGTGCCAGTTTAGGGGGGAGAGTTGTGGGATTCGAGGGATTAAGTGGCTCGAGTGAGACCAGGGGAAGGAGGTTGACGTTTGGAAGTGGTAGGTAGATGGTTGGCTGATACAAAGGATTAGGTATAGTGCCTTCAAAGGGAGTCTAAGCTAGCTGGATCTTTGTACTCGGAGAAAAAGCTTTAGCTTTTTTATTCTCGGGAATCGGAACCGATAGACATTTTTGAAGTGGTCCAGGCCAGGTGCAACTTTTCGTCCGGCGTGGGTGGATATTATCTTGATGCGTTATTGATTTTTGAGACATTACTTTCAAGGCTGAATCTATGTATTAGAGATATTGAGTCTTAAGGGCTGATAGATTGTTAGCTTCTAATTGGTATAGCTATGTTTTAGGTGCAGATCGGAGGTGAAGAAGGTTTGGAGGATTTTGACTGGTATTGTTTTGTTATGCAAGTTATACTCAAGCAGTTGTAAAATCCATAGACGCCACATGGATAGTTAAATGATATGTTGTAATGTTGTATTACATTAACGTTGATTATATTTATGTTGATTGTTTGACAGATGACAACTCGAGGGCTATATCATAATCGGTTAACTATTGGTTGTTGTGGGAGAGGATTGATCGGAAACTGTTGTTGCTTAAACGGGCTAATTAGACCCTTTAGAAGGATCTCGCTTAAAGAACGAAAGATATAGAAATAGGAAACCCAGACTAGGAACTATTGTATAATATGCACTGTTGTCAAGAGACCTACAATGGTTGGAAGGGTAAGTAATGTAAACCCCACTTTTACTAAAATCTTGCTGTTTTTATAGATTTTGCTGCTGCTTTAAGCGATTCGAATAGATATTGAGCTGTTCCCCCCAAAATTCAATCTTTGAAGCTTTTACTTGCTTTTTATCAATTCTAATAGTTTTTTAGTATTTGAAGCATTTGAAGGTTTCTATAGGTTCCAAATAGGCTTAGGATAAGGATTCGAATTTGAAATCCAATCGAAATCATTAATTTCAATAAAAAAGTAAATAATTTTGAATAAAACGTGACTTTTACAATACTTCCACCACCTAGAGTTCACCATATAAATTTTCAACCAGCGTGACGATATGATTGGCTAAAGCCTCTAAATATGGAGAAAAGCACGGTCGCTTTTTGGTGGGTTTTACATTACTTACCCATCCAACCATTGTAAATGGGTTCACATGGTTTCCCAAAAAGATTAGTGGGGATTTTCTCCACCAATCAATGAAAATTAGTGGGAGATCAATTCGTAAGCAAGTTATGGTGGGTCAGCTTAGGGAACATATCTCACCCCTCCCCCACTTTCCCATTGCCCATCGTTTTGAAACATTAATTTACCACACGTTCCATATCAAATCTCCATGTCAAAGAAGTTCTAGTCTCTGGGTGCGAGTTCTGTGCCATGTCTCAATCTCTTTATTCGTCGCTTTCGCTGGAGTCTAACACAATTCGGTTGCTTCGCATATTGCCGAATGAGAACGAGGAGGCCGATATCAACTGTACGCTCTTTGTGTACCCACTACATGATTCCGGCAGAGGTACTCATCGATATGAAGCTTTATCTTATGTATGGGGAGATGCAAACAACTCTCGTTCCATTTGCGTAAATGGGCATAGTTTGACTGTCAGGGCAAACCTTCACTTTGCCCTCTCACGTCTTCGAGATCCTATTTTAGACCGCATTATATGGATAGATGCTATTTGTATCAATCAAGAGGACTTAAATGAGCGAGGCCATCAGGTTCAGCTTATGGCGAAGATATACAGCAAAGCAAGTCAAGCGGTAATTTGGCTGGGAGAGGCGGCAGACAATAGTGATCGAGCTCTTGAAGGAATAGTTATTGCCGCAAGCCAATCTGAAATCTCTTCAAATAGCATAACGCGGATGGCAGTTCTTGCACTAGTTCAACGTCCCTGGTTTCGGCGCATTTGGGTAAGGGAATATCGCTTGATAGTATTTTAACTGTTACTAAAAGCTGGTATAGGTGCTACAAGAAGTTGCCGCAGCTCGACACATACTAATCATGTGTGGTCTTGTTGAGATCGATGGGTACGCGTTCTGTTCAGGGTTAAATTTATGGAAGGACTCTCTCGAAGCTTATCCAAAATTGCAAAGATTGATTCGTTTGGTGATTTACCTCATGAAGGAAGCAAACTTTCGGCCCAAATATGCAAAAAAATAGCTCGGACAATTTCTCCCTTGATATTCGCCCTTTAAGCGAGCTGATAGAAACATATTATACCCGGGAATCGACCGATGTCCTTGATAAAGTGTATGCTTTACTCGCCATGTGCTCCGATAATCCTACCTCAGCAGGCTTACTCCCCGACTACACCATTCTATGGGAACAACTCTTTCAGCAGCTTGTCCAGTTCATTCTTTGTAAAGAGATAGAAGTGATAATCCCGCAAGACAGAAAGAAAGCAATATTCAAAAGCAAAGGTTGTGTTCTTGGCTTGGTGAGTTCAGTGTACGTTGATGCTGCTTGGAATGACACGCAAAAGGTGGAAATCGTTTTCACTGATGCTTTTGAGTATTTGGAAAGCGAAATGGGAATGCAGACTACTTGGAATATCCCAATGATGGAAAAAAACATACAGAGAGGTGACATCTTCTGTATTTTACAAGGAGTTTCAAAGCCAACGATTATCAGGCTTTGTGATGATTATTTCTCTGTCATCATGATTGCAGCAACTCCTATGGATTTCACGTTAGAATTGAAATCAGAGTGGTACAAAATTTTGCGTTCAATAACAACTTTCCCACGGGATTTACTACTTGCATGGGACTTGGGGGGGTCTCGGAAGAAGTTGGTAAGTCTGGAATCTGAGAACTTGAGAGTGCCTATCAATCCAAACTCAATGCTCGAGGAAGATTTAGAGACGGATGGGACTCAAGGGGCGAAGAAAGATATAGAATCAAGCGAAGAGATACGTGACAGTTTGGAGGTGAAGATTCACGTAAAGGCGGAGAGCTGTTCAGAATCTGGACAGAATTCAGAGGCGAAGGAGAATTCCGATAGTGATGAGCATTCGACAGCAGAAGAGTATTCGAAAGCAAAGGGGTGTTCATATATGAGTGAGAATTCAGAAGCAGGAGAACATCTAAACCTGGATGGGTATTCAGAGACTGGGTCGAGAATATGGGATAACGCAATTAGATTGCGTGACGTAGCTCTGATATTGAAAGACTTGAGACTGTATGATGATGCAGAAGTTTTATTTCTGCGATTGATAAAGACAAGAAAACAACTACAAGGAGTCGAACACCCACAAACACTACTCAGTATAGCTGATCTGCAGTTATATTATCAAGAGCGAGGACTCTTGAGGGAGACAGAAGAATTAGAAGCAATGAAGCATCTCCTCGAGACAGGAGAAAGCGCCGCTCAAGTTTCAGAAGAAGAGGTGGTCGAAATTGCGTCATTATCATCTTCCAAATCAATGATGCTCTTACTCGAGCGGAGAAATGGGAATATTCCGATCACAGAAGAGGTAGTCAAGATAGCAGCAGCTAATTACGACTGCGGAACTGATATAATGAAGCTATTGCTCAGAGAAAGAGAGGATCTTTCAATTACAGAAAATGTTGTTCGAATTGTAGCAGGAAATAGGGAGGGATATGAAATAATGAAACTTCTATTTGATAAAATAGAGGACTTTTTGATTACAGAAGAGGTTGTTCGAATCGTGGCAGAAAACAAAAATGAAGGATATAATATCATGAAGCTTCTATTTGATAAAAAGGAAGACCTTTTGATTACAGAAGAGACAGTTCGAATCGCAGCAGGAAATTTGAAGTGGGGAGAGTCTCTACTGGAACTGCTATTTCAGCAAAGAGGAGATCCGATTCCGATTACAAGAGAGATAATCAAAGAAGCGGTAGGGAATGAGAAATGTGGATTTTCTATAATGGAATTGCTATTTCAAATAAGAGGGGATCAGATTTTAATCACAGAGGAAATAGTCAAAAATGTAGTAGAGAACGGGCCTTGCACTCCATCTCTAATGAAACTGCTATTAAAAAAAGGGGGGATCAGATCCCAATCACAGAAGAGACGATCAAAAAAATAGTAGGGCGTATAGATGATGGATTTTCCGTATTGGAATTACTATTTCAAACAAAGGGGGATCAGATCTTAATCACTCAAGAGATAGTCGAAGCAGCGGCGGATCGCTTCACGCAGGGATATGAAACAATGAAGTTTCTCCTGGAAAGAAAAGGGGATCAGATTCTGATCACTGAAAAAATTCTGAAAATCGCAGCAGGGAATATTTGCAGTGGGCTGAAAATAATACAACTTCTCTTTGAAAAAAGAGAAGATCAAATTCTGATTACAAAAGATATAGTTAAAAAAGCAGCAGGGAATAGCTACAGAGGAAATCTTATAATAAAGCTTTTTTTTGAAAAAAAAAGGAAATCGAATTCCAGTTACAGAAGAAATATTAAAAATCGCAACAAGGAATGAGGGGTACGCGGCACAAGGTATGATGTCAATTTTCTTTGAAAGGCTGGGGGAGCAATTTCCAATCACAGAGGAGACTTTGAAAGAAATATTAGAACTGGCAGCGACGAAGTGGAAGCCATCTTTTGTAAAGCGCCTTTCCACATGGAAACTGAAAGGGCATGGGTAACTAGGGGCGTTCAAGTTGGATTTCTTTTTAAATGGGCTCTATATATACACTTCTTTGCATTATGAGTCGGATGGGTCAGGAGATTTAAATGCCATGGAAATATGCAACTCATCCCACCCGTTGAACCCGTTCATTCCATCTCGCTTTCTGGTGTCTTCATTTCTTTCTCCTATCCCCCTTAAAACTGATTAGGATAACGAAGTGATTTAGTTACATGGCTCATTCATCCTTTCCCTTCCTCCTGACTCCCTTCCCTCCTTCATTCTACTACGACTCTTCTACATAAACAAACGGGATGAACCACATCATTGAAATAGCCAATTAAATACTAATCTATATAGCTCACACCTTGATTCGCATCTTCCGAAAGCCCCAAGTTTATCATTCACCCACTTTGCTAATTAGATCACAATGTGATGCAATGGATAGAATCTTTCCTTTCTCTAACTGGGCCGGAGAATAACAGCAAGAACATCCATGAAAAAGCTAGGAAAAATATACAATTTCCTAGAGAGCAACGAATTAAAAAAGTCCAAAACATAAGAATCATGAACAGACTGTAAATAATAGGTAAATACAGTAGCAATAACTTCCTCATTTAGCAAGCAATTCAGCAATTCTCCATTTCCTATAATGAGTTGATATAAACCACAATGAAACTTCACTAGAAAGCACCCACTCTCTGACTACAGAATGTCTCAAGAATGTCTAAATCTCCTATCCCCCCGACAAAAAAGAGCAACCCAAGTTTCTGGACTATGAAACAGGCAGCCAGGACATGAATATCCCAAACATCCAAGATAGCTTAGAACAATAGAAAAAGTTCCCAAACAGACAATGTAGATATTATATGAGCTGACGAGAGAGATGATGAATGTTATACATAAGACCTGGATACTTCCAGTCAATGTATATCTCATCTCACCTTGCCCTTGACAACATGAAGTACGCACAATCCATTCATCTTTCCACGCAATTATACCTTCACCCCCAAACTCCAAACTCCAAACCAACACCAACAACAAACCTCTAGCTTTCCTCCCCCTCCCCCATCCTACCACCCCACTCGTCCCCCTCCCCCCAATCTCTCACATTCCCCAACCCCACCTCAATCTCCCTCTCCCCCCACTTCTATCTCTCCTTTATAATACCCATTTCCCCTCTTCCATCAACAAAAAACGGGCTTGTGGTTTAGTGGTATAATGTTCCCTTAGCATGGGAGAGGTCCGGCGTTCGATTCGCCGCTAGTCCAAAAAATCCTCACCTTCCCTCCTCTCACCGATCAAAAGATGAGAAGTTGACGGGCGGTTCTTTTTAGCAAATTTTCTAAGCGAGATTTTTTTTCCATTTTTTTATGTTTTATGTGGGGCTCGACTCCAATGTGTGAGAAACTCACAGGGATCAGTGTTCTATGAGGATTTAGAAGAATAGAGATTTATTTTGAATGTCGAATTTTATTCCTATTTTAAGCTGTGTGGTCGAGATGCTTGAAGTGATGAGGAACTAAGGTTGTTTTGGCGAAATGCATGCTCACTCGGTTGGGGTTTCGCCTAGAGTAGCTCGAGTAGGTAGTTAAGGCGGCTATTATTCAGGGGCATTAGTCTTCATTTCATCTCGATAGCTGGTTCTAATTCTAGATCCAGCTGGGAAATATCGGATTATAAATAATTCCATGCATCGGTAAGAGAAAATGAGAGTGGAAATTCAGATTTATTTTGTCATCGTCTTTCGATCTTTAAAATGATCAGAGGACATAACGCCGAATTTCAAGAAAATAGCCTATTTAACGCTTTTATTCTGCCCTAAAACTATTTACAATCTACACTTAAAAGCGTGAGCTAATTTGATCCATTCAAAACCTCCCCATCAATACCACCTGCAACTCCCTTATCCTGTATTTCCATCTTCTCCTTTGCAGCTTCACCGCCTACTAGTGTGTATTTTGCAGGTACAATATTTTTGAGAGGTGGTAACAGACTCCTTGAGGTTTGACGGGCTTGTTGTGCCATTAATGCATCGATGACTGTGAGAGCTGCCATTGCCTCTACAATAGGTACTGCACGAGGAACAACGCATGGATCATGACGACCCTTGGCTTCGAGAATACCGGAACCACTACCGTCATAAGTGGCAGTTTGTTGGGCTTGACCAATGGTGGCTGCCGGTTTGAAAGCTACACGGAAATAGATGGGTGCACCATTTGTGATACCTCCTTGAATACCAGCAGAATTGTTTGTCTTAGTTGTTAACTTAGGACGAGGGATTCCATTCTTTGATGCACCAGTCTCGAGGGGTGGTACTTCAGTAGCAAGAATAAATGGATCATTGTGTTTGGAACCTGGGACTTCACAGCCACCGAATCCGGATCCGATTTCGAAACCTTTAGAGGCTGGAATACTGAGCATAGCATGAGCAAGCATTGCTTCCATTTTATCAAAACAAGGTTCACCAAGGCCAGAAGGAACATTACGGATTACGCAAGTAACAGTTCCTCCAATGCTGTCTTGCTTATCTCTATATTCTGCGATAACTTCGGCCATTTTCTCGGATGCTTTAGCGTCAGGGCAGCGGACCGGGACAAATTCGTCGACACGTTCCCGTGTAATGTCTTGTATAAGTGAGAGGAAGGCGGGGTTTGTGGAGGGACTTGGGTGTTCGACGGTTGGTGGGAACATATGGGTACTGCCAACGGAAGAAACGAATGCGACAATTTCAATTCCATGTGCGAGTCTTAGATATTTTTCAGCAATTGCACTTGCTGCAACTCTACCAATTGTTTCTCTTGCGCTACTTCTTCCACCACCACTGCTAGCCTTTACACCGTACTTCTCGAGGTATGTCCAATCCGCATGAGAAGGACGAGGGTAAAGGTCCATTGTTTTGTTTCCATAATCGTGTGGTCGTTGATCTTGATTACGAACAATCATTCCAATAGGTGTGCCAAGGGTGATTCCGAATTCTGTGCCAGATTGGATCTCGACTTTATCTTTTTCATCGCGGGGAGTGGTGAGGGCGGATTGACCTGGACGACGACGAGTCATCTGGGGTTGAATATCTGCTTCTGTGAGCTCCATTCCTGGTGGAACTCCGTCGACTATACATCCTACAGAGCGACAATGCGACTCTCCGTAGCTATGAGAAGGAAGAGAAGTTAGTACTTTTATGCTGAATGTGTAATGGAGAGGTAACTTTGCGTGGACTTGAATTTGGTGATGATGGTGTCAGTTGAATTGAATGTTTTGTACATACGTAGTAACTTTGAAATATTGACCAAATGTAGACATTTTGCGAAGAAGTGTGAGGAATATGGAATAAAGTAGAAAAGGGTATCAACGAGAGTCTCTATTATATGTAAATGAAAATCCAAAAAAGAATTGATGACTCTTTTGACTCTTTCTTGACTTTTTCGGAGCCCGGACCCGATTCGGCGGGATGATGTGGGATGATGTGAGATGGGAAAAGAAATCCCCTGGTCATCGAGAGTCTGGTGGAGGTAATGTGGTAATATCCCGAAGAATACCCTTGTCAATTCACTAGGAAATCTGGAAATGTCAATTTATCTGAACCATCTCCGAATTTTGTATGAGGAAGTCAACAAATTCAACGTCCGGAGAGTATATTGGCTGCTTGGGTGCTTGGGTATTTCCAAATGTACCAAAAATCAATAATTCCTGCGAGAGGATTAATGCGCCAGTTCATATTACGCGGCAGAAGCACGATAAGCAAAGAGTTCTTTGTTCGCAGAAATGTTTCCACTCACAGTAGTGTATCAATAGGGAGATTCGTCCAAGAAGCTACCAATCCACTCAACAAATCCCAAATATACATATCACGAACAAATGATCCCTTCATTAATTTATCCATCGAACATTATCTTCTACAAAAGACCCCCGCAGATTCTACCATCTTGTTCCTCTATACCAATCAGCGCAGTATTGTTATTGGACGAAATCAAAACCCTTGGAATGAGGTGAATCTTGGTCTACTCGCACAATCCCCAATTGGAGATGTAGCATTGGTTCGACGACGTTCGGGTGGGGGAACAGTCTTTCACGATCTTGGAAATGTCAATTACTGTGTCATATGTCCCACGTCGCATTTCGATCGCGACAAGCATGCCGAGATGGTAGTGAGAGCTTTACATAAACTTGGTGTTGATCGGGCTATGGTTAATGCTCGACATGATATAGTATTGAAGCCAACAAACGTGGGTACAAGCGGGTTCAAAGTATATAAGGTATCAGGTTCGGCCTACAAGTTAACAAAGGAAAGATCTCTTCACCACGGTACTTGTTTACTAAACTCTCCAAATATTGCAAACATTGGCAAATTCCTGAGGTCCCCGGCAATGAGATTCATCACTGCTCGTGGCGTGGAAAGTGTTAGTTCTTCAGTTGCAAATGTCAAGATCCAAAATAAGGCATTCGAACAAGCGGTAGTAGAGGAGTTTAGTGCTATGTATGGTCTTCAAGAACCAATACTCCTACGGGAGGATGTCAAAGAAGTTCCCGAGATATCTAAAGGTTTGGAAGAGCTTACTGTGCGTGATTAGACCCTTTCCGCTTTCCCCCTTTGAAGAAGCTTAAGCTGACAATTTGGAAAACAGTCTTTAGATTGGATATTCTCACAAACTCCCCAATTTTCGTTTTCCGCAGATACATCAATAAAAAACAAAAACACACAGCTTCCGCTTCCCAGAGACTTGCCACAAGATGTGAGTGTAGCACGGGAAATTGAAACATGATCAACATTACTGATGCAAAGATACAGTTCAAGGCCAACTTCACGGCACGAAATGGGGCTATTATCGAGGCTGATGTAGAATATAAACAAAATGGCGAAGCGGTTCAAATTGGGAATGACCTAGTGAACAAGAAGATACATGAAATCGAATGGAACATGTTCCCTAGTAGCTTTGCCGAGGAACCTTTGAAATGGTTCAGCAGATTATTCTCCCACAAATTTGTGGATTGGAGAAAAGAACGGAGAAGGGATGCTTG